CAGTAAATCAGCTTATACTGTTTGGTGCTTGATTTAACTGCTGATTTTCAACAGGCCTGGGAGTTGGGTGAAATGAATTTCACAAGAGGTATATTTCCAGTGTTATCATTCGATTTTCTCTATCTTTACAGTAAAGCAAATCTAGAATTTGGGGTTAAAATATCTAAATTTCTTTAAACATGAAAGTAGGACTGAATTTCTTGGACTGGTTTTGCCCACAGTTGTGTTTATTCATTTGGAGATAGTGCTGGGAACCTTGGTTAAGAGGCTGGTGGGAAGGCAGGTTTTTCTGTTCTGGCTATCATATATTTCATTTTTAGAAGTGAAGACTTGGGGATTTCATAGACAGGACAGCCTGATTTCATAGACAGGAGAAAAGTGAAATCAGCTGTCAGTTCAGGAGTATATTTATGTGTAATAACAAACATTATTTGGTCCAATAATCTTATCTATGCCCTTTATATCTAATCTATATCTTCCTCTATGCCAGAATTTAGTAGCCAGATACTGCTTTCTTTCTTCTGGTAAATTTCCCACTAGTGTCAAGATAAGACTTGGGCTTTTTAGCCTTCTATAAAGGAACCTGACGTTATCTGTGATTCTGCAGAACAAATCTCTTCCCCATACTTTTTGGGAAAATGCATCTTAGAGATAGTTCAAATGTTGGTTTGTGATATTTACCATGTTCTCTGATTTCTAATATTTGAAAACATAGAATCTTAAGAAGCTGCAGCCAAATAAATGAAAACATACCAGTCATACACCCGAAATAGACCACACTAGATTTCAATCACTTGCTCACTTAAATGAGACCCACAACCTGAAATATAGTTGCCTTCTAGCTCAGTGGCATTTCTATGTTCATCAAAGGCTCATCTGTTTAACACCAAGTCCTCTTTAGATTGCTATGGACAGGCTCTGTTTTCCTGATCATGTCATTGCTTCATTTTGTTGGATTGCTGAGAGGTTGCAGTTTGCTCTCCATGGACAGGTTAACAGGAACTTCATGCTAACAGCATATATTTTGCATGAGATATACTTTCCCTTTGTACCCAACATCCACAGCTAATTGTTAACTCTTCCTCTATCTTAGGACCAATAAAACTGACAGCTGGCTTTCTAGGGTGCATAACAGCTTCTGTGCAGCTGCTTAGCCATAATTATTTAATTAGAAGCTGCCAACTGTGCCTATATAAGCATTAATTCATCAAGCTGTTGTGCTCAGGTTAATGGGCCAGAACCATGGGAGGTGTTCTAAAACAGGGAGTTGACTACATGCAGAAATGCTTTTCACAGAGGAACTCAACTTTCTCTTGGATTTAGGGGGACTATATAAATATATATACAATGTGTATATATATGGAGTTTGTCATGATAGCTATATAGTCAATATATCTATGTTTAGTGCATGTATATCTTTATATTTCATGCATGCATATATTTATATATATATTATGTATAAAACTCCTTAGATCTAAGGAATTAAATCCAAGCAATCAGACTCTTCAAATAACTCAGGGATGATGGAGAGTCACTTTGCCTGGATCCATATCACAGTAAAAAATGAACAGCAAGAAATTAATACACTGCATATGGTGGTTGACAGACATGGTGAGAGAGCCCCTTCTTTCCCTGTTTATCTAATTTTCTTCCAAATTTTCCAAGAAAAATTTCAGAGACCAAAATCTCCCTAACAATTATTAACAGGTTAGATTCCTACCTCATGTAAATTTCCTTGTGGAGCTAGAATTGATGGTCAACGTCATGTAGTTTGAAGTGAGTATTTTGTTAACGTAGAACTATGAACAATTAAAAAGTCAACAGGTGTGTTTGTGTGTGTTTAAGAGACAGGTAAGATCTGCATCACTCACACACCAAAATATGATGTGTGAGATACTATGCTTTATGATTCACTTATCTGCAACCAGAAGAGTTAATATGAATGATACAGAAACATAGAAAAGAAACATCTATCCTAGGATTGCCTCACAAAGTATTTTAAATGCATGCTTTCTTTTCATTTAAAATAATTAGAAGGTACCTTTTCTCCGTTTCCACCCAATTGGCTAAATTATTACTTCTCTTTTCTTTTCAAGCATTATATAGAAGTTGATATATAAATATCAGGCAATTTTCACTCACCTCCAAATGAATGAGAGCTAAGTAATTTGGAAATGAGAAATCCTGATTTTAAACCAGATACTCAATAACCATTTACACCACTTAGGAACAAACCACAGGTCCATGGAAATAAATGAACTCCTTATTTCTAGAGCCATTTTCCAATGCCTGAGAGAGCGGGAAGATTGTTCCTGGTTAGAGAGAATTATGCACATTTCCTTAAGCCTACTCATGAGTGAGTTACTTTGTATCAATGCATGAAAGCACTAAAATTCAAAGACATTTGCCTCTAATAAAACTGTGATAGCATGAACACAAGTAGAGAGTTTAATTCATGGGACACTTACTCCAAAAATATACACTTTGAGTTCTGTGCATTATAGAAACAGACACTGATTCATCATGGTTTTGACAAATTTCAACTTGTAGTTGCATTTTAACCTTTCTTTTCTTCACTTCATTTCCTTAAATTTAAGGGGTTGCTTCCACAAAAGTCTCTAAATTATTTTATATACTCAGTATATATCTGCAGGGCTGTTGATTAAAATAGAATGTTGGAGAAAAGTAGATCAGGAAATTATTTCCACTTCATTTCCTTAAATTTAAGGGGTTGCTTCCACAAAAGTCTCTAAATTATTTTATATACACAGTATATATCTGCAGGGCTGTTGATTAAAATAGAATGTTGGAGAAAAGTAGATCAGGAAATTATTTTCTACTTAGAATTCAGGTGTGTGACCTTGTATTGGGAAAAAAATACAACATCTGGCCACTGCGAATAATTTATTTGATATTGACTTTAAAAGCTTCCATAAGAGGATGTGTTTTCATAGGAAAACATGTGGAAATGTATCTATCCTGAAATGATTCTAGCTCTTTCTCTTGATTACTCAAAAGATACCTATAAAAACAAATTTTTATTACCATAGAGATACAGTTGATACATTCAAAATGAGACAACAGGGAGGGTGTAGCTAAAACTGTGAAACATGTGAGGCTTGGTCTCCACCACCAACGTCTCCTCTTTCTGTTAATTTTTCTGTCCTCTCACCTAGGATGCTCTTCTTCCCTCCTGTTGGAGTGACTCCTGCTCTCAAGTTCTTTTCCCCATGCCCTAGTCAAAACTTGTTGTTAGGAAAATTCTGCTCTGTCATTATACTTAGAAGGCTTTCAAGGTATGGTGTTATTTTTCC